CCGAGCGAGTGTGGGGGCGGAAAAGAGAAGCGAGGCAAGCATTGTGAGATCAGCAGCCGGCTGGCCCCCCCTTGGAGCGAGGCCGACGAATGTGGCCCCCACGGACATCCGGCTCGCCTCTCAAGAGTCACTTCTCTCAAGCCTGCATGGCTGCCTCTCCGTCGGATATGATTCGATTAAAGAAAGCGTGACTCTTCTCCCCCCCCGTGTCTCCCTCCCGTCTCTTCTCTCCCGCCCCCCTCCCGGTGCCTCCCTCCCGCCTCAGAACTGCTCATTCGCTCTCACCGCATTACTCTTTGCCTTTCCGCCCGCATGCGTGCGGCCCGCCTTGCCCGCATGCGCCTTGCGGCCATGATGCTTCTCGGCCCTCCTGCTGGCGCGCTCGCGCTCGGCGGCGATGCGCGCCGCAATGCCGCGCGCATCGCCGTCGGCCAGGGCCTTTTTGGCGGCGCCAGAAGAGGGCAACAGCCGAGTCTGAGCCTTGCTCGGCAGACGAGAAGGCGCCTCCGAGACGGCGTCGTCCGCATGCGAGACGCAGTCGCCATCGTCGTCAGAGGCTTGCGCGTGCTGCTCCGAGGCCTCCTCCTTCTCCTCGTCGTCGTCGTCGTCATCGCCGTCGTCGTCGTCGTCGTCTGAGCCCGATTGCGAGCCCGACGCTGTGCCAATTGCGAGGCGGTCCATGTACTGTCGTTGCTTTCAGCTCCTGCAGCACGCCCCCCCCCCCTCCCCCCTCTCTCGCTCCAGCTCACTCACCAATTCCAGTTCCCCCTTCTTACCTCCTCCCAACCCACTGGCATTCGTCAGGACGTCGAGTTCCAGCACTCCCTCTTCTTGCTCCTCCTCCTCCTCTCCCTCCTCAAGCAGCACCGTCTCTCCCCTCTCCTTGGCCTCCTTTCGCCTCTGTCGTCTGGCGCGCTGCAGCGCTCGGTCCAAGGGCACCACGTCGCGAAAGCGCGGGTATTCGCTCGAGAAGAAGCGGAAGCGCTTGCGAAAGAAGCGACGCACGCATTCGACATCGCGGTCGAAGTAGCTGCCCGAGCGCGCGCGCGTGAGCAACCAGGTAAGCGGGAGGGGGGCGGACGGGAGGAGAAGAGGGAGGGAGGAAAGCACGCACTACTCGGCGTTCTCATGCTCCACGCTGACCATTTGAGGAAAGTCGATGAGAATCGGCTCGAGCACGGAGCCGTCGCGCATGTGGATGCGCTCGTCGTTGTCGTCCAAGTCGTCGTCGTCGTCGTCGTCGTCATCGTCATCGTCGTCGTTGTCGTCGTCCTGCTGCTCCTCCTCGGCGGCGCTCGGCTGCGCAACAGGCTGCTTTCGCACGACGCGAGCGAAGCCTTTTCCCTGCTGCACCTCCTCTGCCTCTCCCACTCTTAGCGTCTCCACTCTCTCCTCTTGCTCCTGTTCCTCCTCTTCCTCATCCGGCGCCTCCAGCTCGCGAATGAGCAAGTTGTACTCGTTGAAGTCGCCATGAATCAATCCTGCGCGAGCCAAGCGGACGATGAGACGCATGAGCGCACCGTAAAGCAGCGGTATTTGATCTGCTGGCAGCACGGCGATTTGGCGAAGCGGATAGGCGGGGATGAGAGACATCAAGACGCAGTGTCGAGAATGCGCTAGAGGCACGGGAACGGGAAAGGAGTGCTCGTAGAGACACTGCGCGCACAAAGAGAGGAGAGTGAGAGGTCAGTGATTGCCACAAGCAGCGAAGGACGGGCAGAGGACGTTAACGCCC